AAAACAAAAAAAAGACGATCATGGATTACAAGAAAAGAAAACAAACATTTCGATCATGGATTACAAAAAATTCTATTATAGGGTTACAAAAACCAAAAATTACGATCATGGATTACAAAAAACAAAAACAAATTCGATCATGGATTACAAAAAAATCAATCAAGTATTACAAAAAAATCTATCATGGATTAACAAACAAAAAAAAAAAAAAATAATCCATACGGACTCGCCGATTCACTGCTCGGACTCGCCGATTCCGTACATTGAATCGGCGAGTCACTGTGCGGAATTGTCCGGTTCTCTCTAGAACCGGACGATTTCCGATTTTTCAACCGATCCGGTCCCTTTTCGCGAATTCCGAGTCGAACCGGGCGAGTCCAGTTCGACTCGGCGTTTTTTAAAACGCTGGTCTAGACTATCCATTTTCAAGATCTACTTGATTTTAACTATTTTTGGAGTTTAAAATTTTATAATTAGATATGAAAATAGATTTTCAAATAATCCTGATAATTTTTTACACTAAAATTACATGTTATGATAAATTTGGAGGTGCGCCTTAATTGGATTGTTTAAAGTTGCAACCTCATAGAAACCACACCCTTTTGATAAACTTTCTTATTATAAATTAAGGATAGATCCACTTATTAATGAGATTAAGAGGAAATAAATGCCCCCCAAGAAAAATAATTAAAAAGATTATATGTTTATTCACTGCCTTCTCTGGAGCACAAATAGGTCTATATTGCACTACGGGTGGCAATGGACCCGACTAGATCCGGGTCTCGATTAGTATAACTGACCTTGAATCCGGGTATGGATCCAAATTTCGGATCGAATACTATTCCGGTTTAGCTTTGGGTCCAGCCGGACAAGACTTGTACCTGTAAGCATAGGATATATGATGGCAATCGTGTGTCTTTAGATGCGTGCTAGGTGTTCATAATATCATAATATTTACAATATTATTGGCCAAAAAAATAACTTAGTCATAGGGTATATGATGCTAAAATAATGGCAAAAATAAAAAAAAATTCACAGTTATAGGGTGGCCATGGATCTGACTAGACTCATGACCCAACAGGTCCCGGTACAGGTCCAAATTTCGGACTTGAATACAATTCGAGTCGAGGTTCGTGTCCAGCTGGACTCGACCCATTGCCACATATATTATGCTCCTGCGGGATGATTATGTACACTTACTCCCCTTGGGCAGAATACTAATCTTTGATCAAAAATTTGGGGAACCACCTTAAAATTGCTAGATAACTCTATCAAAAGAAAAAAAAAAATTGAATTTTGAGTTTTCTAACACTTGATATCACCCTCAAAAATTGGACCGCTTCTATTAATCTTGAGGCATTATTTTTTTTCATAGCCATAGAAAAATTAATTTGGAAATTTTTATATTTAGTTTACCATAAGGGTTGAAGAAGTTGCATCTGCAAAATTTAGGGTTTTAAAAATGCTCTTAGAATGGGTTTTGCCATTCGGAGTAAATGGACAGTATTCACCCTCAAGAGCATGAAATCTTTTGGCTCCACTAAATTTCATAGTTGGAAAGGTCTTCTAACTAAGGGTATTGGTTTGAACAATGTTGAAATCTTATTTGTAGAAATAAGATTGAGATAGGTACATTTTACTTTGACAGTATAAATTTGACATGTCATTTAAGGTAATTAAGGTAGTAGATAGACGATGTAAATTATTGTAATGTTATTTCTATAAATAAGGTTGCAATTTTATATAAATTTTTCTTTTAAATAAAAGAAAATTATAGGTGCCCTTTAGAGTAGACTTTCCAGGTATACATGCCCACTCCAATACTATTCAAATCACACCACTTACCAGAATGTCATTTGTTTTTACATCCACCCCCTCAAACAATACAGTAGTTTTTTAGGATAAAAATATATGCTATATATTTAAGATAGTTCCTCTCTCTAAATACTTGAAATTTTATCTTTTTGAGAGAGAAACCGTCAAAAAACTTTTAAATAGAGAAAGTATCTCAAATTTCAATTTTTAGAGAGAGAAACCATCTTAAAATTGTTAGAGAGAAAAATATCTCAAAAATTTTAAAGACAACAGCTATTTTAAATTTCACATTTTCTGACAAAAAAAACTCTCACAATATTTTTAAAGAGAGAAAGTTGATTAAATTTCAATATTTTAGAGAGAGACACTATCTTAAAATTGTTAAAGAGAAAAAATATCTCAAATTTTAAATTTTTAAAAAGGGAAAATATCCCAACTTCAAAGTTTATGCATCGAGGTATTATTAAAATTAATGGTGCGTTTTGAAAAATACTTGGGGAAGCATCCAAATAAATTAGGGTATGGGGTCTTTATAATTGTCCCTTCTAAGTAACTCTTTCAAGCCAAAGGATGCTTGGGGAGGAATAATAACCTACAAAAATGTTGGGAACATTAAGGAATGGACCTCATCCGCTGCCACATGGGCGATGGGGCCGCTTCTTATTTCCCTACGAGATTTGGTCACATGCTATGCCTGCACATCGAGGGAAAGGGCGCTTTTAGCTCTGTTCCTTTCAAGGGACCAAACTTTACCTCCCGTGGGAATGTCACGGCTTCTCGAAATGCAATTAATTCTTGTCGGCTTGTCTTTTAATCTTGTGCAATCTTTCGATTTTGGAACCAATATTACGTGCTAAAAACTTAAATGATATCGACTCCCTTACTACCGTTTTGGTCGTCCGTGTTCGTACTTTTTTTTTTTGGGTAAGTTAATAGGGTGAAGGCCCTAAATAATTTTGTATTAATAATAAAAAAAAGAGTAATCCTGTCCACATACATGTGTGTAGGATTTTAAATGATCACCATTAAATTTGGTACAGATATCTATAAAAGTTATCAAATAGGTGTGATACTTGATTTTTCTTGAGATATTTATCAAATTTAATAATGATTATTGGGGTCCTACACATATGGGTGTAGGAGGGTCTCGTAGGATAATTACTCTAAAAGAAAATACAATTCATAAAGTTACAACCCTAGTGTAGGGAATTTATGTCACGTCATGAAGTAACACAAGAAAAAGAAAATATGTTGATCTAGATCGTTAAATAGTGGCCTTTGAGAAAGCTGTGGCTTTCTTAGTGTGTGTATCAGCCACCATATTGCCTTCATGATAAATGTGGATTAAGAGCCAAACACGGTAAAACAACTTGTTTTAGCAATTAACAACAACAATATTTAGTGCCTATTGAGCTTTGCAACGAGCATGAATTATATTAACTAACATTGACGAATCATTATTAACCTGTAAAAAGAAACAATTAAGCTGAATGGCTAGGTCTACCCCTGCTTGCAAGACATGAAACTCTGCAAAATTGTTTGATGTTTTCTAAAGTGATTGGCAAATGCAGCAATAAAGAAGGCACCATCACTTCTAATAACACTTCCACCACCTACAAATAAAATTGGGAAAATATCTCCATATTTCGTTTTTTTAAGTTTCATTTCTTGATAAACCCAAATATTCAAAAAATATCTTCTAACTCCCTAGCCACTTTAAACATATTTTTTAACCTAAACAAATGTGAGAAAGACATGTTATTTTTAAACCCAATCATTTCTCTTTCTTCACTTATATATCCCAAACTTCCCTCCTTCTCTCTTCTTATGTCTCTCTCACTCTCTCTCTCCTCCCATGTTTCTCCAAATACCTACCTCTCCTCCCGATAACCTCTCACCTCCATAAAGCCCTTCTCTCTCTAGAAGTTTGAGAGGATGGCTTTTAGAAAAGATATGTTTTTTTAGATTTGTTTGGCCTAAAAAATTAAGTTTTAATTAGCTTAGGGGGTTAGAAGAAATAAAATCTACAATTTTAAGGCCCCAAGATATCTTTTAAAGCCTTGGGTCTATAGTGCAATGAAACTTAAATATAGAGAATATGGAGATATTTTTCCAATAAAATTTATAATCCCATGGAACGATATATATATTTTTCTAACATGTCGAGTTAACTAAAATGGGGTATATTTCATTCTTCCTTTGTGCGGATTTGCTTATATAGGGGATTCCATTTCCAAAGCTGCATTCTGAATGGTGCGTCACCACGTTGGAACCAGTTGGATGTCAAGTTATAAAACCTTCAAATTGGAAAACTAATAATTTGTGAGTTTTTTTTTACCCTCAATTTAAAAATATTATTATTATATTTCTTGTGGTAGGAGACTGTTTGGATGTCTGAAAAATGTCATATGCATATTTTATTAGTTAGATATGTTTGTATCGATGCTTTATGATAAATTTTGCAAAATGTCATAAGCATATTTTATTAGTTAGATATGTTTGTATCGATGCTTTATGATAAATTTTGACTTCATC